TATCTTCGAACTTCAGTTTTCTCTGAAAAAGAGCAGGTAATGATAGTACCTACTTCTCTGGGTTATTGTAAGGTTAAAATTAATTGATGCCTGTGAAGTACTTTGTACAGTGCTTCCGAAAGAGTGGTGCTCAGGAAATGCTAGCGATTGAGGAGCAGGTTTTTATTATTCTCTGCTTGGTGGGACAGGAGGAGTCTCGTCAGAAAGTCACTGGGTGGAATTCAAGGCTGCTTTTGGCGCCTAAATGATGACAATCCCTCCATCTGGCTAGGATCCCTCAGGAGAATGTGGGAGTTTGTATTGCAGATGGTGGTGTTGGCATTTGCCCTCTCCTGGAGGACAGGGACCATGTTTGTTCCTTTTTCTATTCCTGGCATCCTCCATGTGTCAGCATTGTTTGTGGCCAGTAAGTGTTGAATTGAATTGGAGAGGTTGGGATGGCCCCTGCCAGGGTGTTGATAATTGTGCTTCTAAGAGCGGTAGATGCTGAGAGCTTCTTTTCTGGGAGAAGTAGTGATCCTCAGGATGTCCCAGGGATGCAGAATACAGAAGGCAATTGGGGTTGATAGGAATAAATATTTTCATAGGATATGCCAAGTGTAGCATTGGAGAAAGGTTTGAAGAAAGTATGTGGATGGACTGTTTCACAAAGTCAGGGAGTGTTTTCATGACCCTATAGAATCTAGGATATTTGCAGAGAAAGCCAGAGAAAATGGGTTTTGGGTACTATTGCTAGAAAGGAGCATCTTCCAGTGAAAGGTGTAAGCGCCCCTAGAGGCGGCCTTGTAGACCAGACCATTCTAGAAGTTAAGAAGTGTGTGTGCTTGTATGTTTTTCTCTCTGGTTTATCAACTCCTGCCCGCGCCGTCCTCCCCTCCCCCTTGTTTTTCTTAGTTTAAAAAAAAAAAAAAAAGCAATACGTGCACATGGTAAAACATTCTAAACAGTACAGAAAGGTTTAAAATGAAAAGTGAAGATCCCTCTATCCACCTCTTACCCCTAATCCCTCTCCCCAAGGGTAAAACAAACAAACAAAACCCGTTGCCTTGGAGTCGATTCTGACTTAAGGCAACCCCATGTGTTACAGAGTAGAACTGCTCCGTAGGGTTTTCTTGGCTGTAATCTTTATGGAAGCAGATCAACAGGCCTTTCTTTGGCAGAGTCACTGGTTGGGTTCAACTGCCAATCTTTAGGTTAGTAGTCTAGAGAAAACTGTTCTCCCCAACGATAACTGCTATTAACTCTTCTGTAACCTTCCAGGAAAAAAAATGCATATAGCAGCAAAAGCACATGTACAGGTGGGATCAGACTATATGTTTTGTTTTACAGCTTGCCCTTTTCTCTTACTATATCTTGATGACCTTTTCATATCAATATACACAACTCTAGCTCATTAAAAACATGGTTGCATAGTGTCCCACTGTGATTGTATTATAAGTGATTTCACTAATCCCCTATTGATGTCCATTCAGATTGTTTCTACTTTTGTGCTTGTACAAAAATCTGGTGCAATGGATATCTCTAAACATATTTTGAAGTGTTTTTGTGAATATACCCCAAACAGTACATTTTTAGCAATGACATTTTGGGACAAAACGTGTGTGCATTTTAAGTTTGTTAAGTATTGCCAAATTATCCTCCAAAATGGTATTCCAAATTACACTCCCACCGACCCTTGCTATTAATACATTGAAAAATGTTTACCAATCTGATAGGTCTCCTGTCAGTTCTGAGGAAGAATAAAATGTAATATTTAAAATGTAGCATTTTTCTGTATCTTATTTTTATCTTAATATTTTGATTCTCATAGGCAGTAGCAGGAACTGCTGAGAAGTCTCGGTTTGAACAGTGGGAAGAGGTTTGAATAACTGAAACCTCAGCCCTGTGAAGACTTTCAGGATTGATTTATTTGAGATAGTAGAATTTTTCAGATATCTGACAATTCTCCTTTTGGAACCAAAATGTTAGTTTTAACTACTTTGGATGAGAAAATTCTCAAAATTATGACATAACTTATTTGAGTTTAAAATGAATATAAAAATATAAGAATCTTCTTGATGCCTTAGGCACACACATAGGAACATCAGACATTGCCTTGGGCTATAATTTAGTGATGCCCTTGGGCCATTTTGAGGCCCTTTTAATCCCCTTAGCTAAATGGCTTCAGGCTGATAATTTGAAAAAAATTCTTAGGTCTACTTTTTATAACTTTTTAACTTTTTCCTAGCTGTCAGTTCTCATTTTTAAGTTTCTCGGTTTATTTGCTTATAAAGGCTCCTTCCTCTCTGCTTCTCTTCCTATTTGGTTCTCTAGTTTCTAAACTTATTGCATGGCTAGTTATAAATGTGTGAAAGAGGTGTAAATGATCATTTAATAAGGCTATGCTGGCTCTTTATGAGTAAAATCTGTGCAGTAGGTGTATAGGCCTTGGGCAGTCTGTTTTGCTAGTGGAGGGGCCTTTTCTTTTTTTCTGAGTTTTTCTGATTGGGTGAGGTATTATTGTGCCCACTTTGTGGAAAGGAAGAGTGGTTAAAGAGTTGTTAGTAGTGGTTGGCACCTCTAACTAGACCTTTTGTGATTCCAATAGAGGGAGATGATGTACTTGGTTGTAGGACCTTTTCCGGGCTCAATGGGTCAGCAAGTAAAAGTGGTAGATGGTGGATGATTGTGTGGCTTGTATGATGGGAAAAGACGGAGGGGAGACCTTCAGGAAGAAGGTCAGCCAGGAGGAGGATTTTTAACTTGATTTATACTTGTTATATTTAGCAATTAAGAAAGGAGTACTGTATTCCTTCTTATTAGCAAACCTATATGTCCAAAGTACTCTGACAGGTGCTGTGGAGGATATCAGATTGAATATGATGGGGTGGTTTGTTGTCATCAGAGGACTTGTGAACCACCAACAGAGAAGGGCCAGTACAGAAATAATACATAGGAGTGAACCACGGGTAGTGCAGTCAACCAGTTAGGAGACACTCTGGTGCAAGTGATAGAAAACCCAATTCAGACCAGCTAAAGCAAGAAGGGACTTAATTAGCTTCTGGCACTGCTTGAGTTGGGGCTCAGATGGCATCTCCAGGATCCATCTGTTGGACCTGCCTCAGCTGGCCTGTCATCTTTGTTAGGCTGGTTCCCCTGGTGGTATGGCAGCAGTATCCCTCCTCACACCCCACACGCCCACAGAGCAGAGAGTGTGCTCTTTCAGAAACCCCAGAAAACATTTTATTGCTTCACATTGGCTCTGACCCAGTCACATGGCCATCTCTGAGCTAATCACTATGGTCAGAGGGTGGGTACAGTTTACATTACATCTTATACATCCAGAGCCTAGGGATGGAGCCAGCTTTATGCAAAGCATATTGGCTGGGAATGGGGGATGGGTGGTTCCATCAAGGCCAAAAAGGGCACTAGAATGCTAAGAACCAAAAGTTCTGACAGCTGAGGCTATTACTTGCCAGTCTCCAAGTTTCAAATTAGGAGTCCCTAGGTGGCACAAATGGTTAAGCGCTTGACTACTAGCTGAAAGGTTGGCTGTTCAAACCCACCCGGAGGTGCCTTGGAAAACAGGCGATCTGCTTCCGAAAGCACAGCCTTGAAAACCCTATGGAGCAGTTCTACTCTGTATACATGGGGTCACCATGAGTCAGAATCAAACCGACAGCAACTAACACAACAAAGTTCCAAATTGGGACACTGGAAACCTAACTGTAATTTTTAGATTTGAGCGTTGTCTATATTTTGAGCCTTGAAGAAAATAGAATATAGAAAGGATGGACTCTGGACTCTGATTTGAAACCTGGCCCTGTTACCAGCTGGGTTATCTCCTACCCTCTCTGAGTCTTAATTTCCTTAAGTATGGGGATAATATGCATACTTACTCTTAAAGCTTTTATAAGAATTCATTGAAATAATCCATGTAAAACTAAGTACTGTGCCCACATACAGTTAACCATAAAAACCATATCGCATTGCCATTGAGTCAATTCTGATTCATAGTGACCCTATAGGACAGAGTAGAACTGCCCCCATAGGGTTTCCAAGGCTGTAATCTTTACTGAAGCAGACTGCCACGTCTTTCTCCTGCAGAGTGGCTAGTGGGTTCTAACTGCCGACCTTTTGGTTTGCAGGTGAGTGCTTTAATCACTGTGCCACCAGGACCCCTATTTTTGTTGCTTTTCACGAATTAACTTAGTTGGATAACTTCTGATTTTTGTAAAATTATGCTTTAAGTGAAGTTTACAGTTCCAGTTAGTTTCTCATACAAAAATTTATACACACATTGTTATATGACCCTAGTTGCTCTCCCTATGATGTGACAGCACACCAATTTCCCGTGTCCATTCAACCAGCTCCTGTCCCTTTTTGCCTTTTCATCTCATCTCTGGCCAGGAGCTGCCCATTAGTCTCATGTATCTACTTGAGCTAAGAAGCACTCTCTTCACGGGTATCATTTTATGTCTTACAGTCCAGTCTAATCTTTTTCTGAAGAGTTGGCTTTGGGAATGGTTTCAGTTCTGGGCAACAGAGAATCTGGGGACCATGTTTTCTAGGGTTCCTCCAGTCTCAGTCAGACCATTAAGTCTGGTCTTTTCACTAGAATTTGAGTTCTGCACCCCACTTTCCTCCTGCTCCATCAGGGACTCCCTGTTATATTCCCTGTCAGGGCGGTCATTGGTGGTAGCCAGGCACCATCTAGTTCTTCTGGTCTCAGGCTGATGGAGTCTCTGGTTTATGTGGCCCTTTCTGTCTCTTGGGCTAATATTTTCCTTGTGTCTTTGGTATTCTTCATTCTTCTTTGCTCCAGGTGGGTTGGGACTCTGCTTTTTGATAGATCCAAAGCACCCCATATCATAAGAATACTATTGAACGAGGTTTTGAAAGAAATAAAAAATTAAAAACCAACATCTTATTTGTAAGGTGGAGATTTTTGTATTAACTTTAAAAAAAAAAATCTTGACAGAGATAGAGGCTACTCCAGAGCAGCAGCAGCTGGTGGAGAAATGGAGATGCAATCCTATTATGCCAAGCTCTTGGGGGAGTTGAATGAGCAGCGCAAGAGGGACTTTTTCTGTGACTGCAGCATCATTGTGGAGGGGCGGATCTTCAAGGCCCACAGGAACATTTTATTTGCCAACAGCGGCTACTTCCGAGCCCTGCTTATTCACTATATCCAAGACAGTGGGCGGCACAGCACTGCCTCCTTGGATATTGTCACCTCCGATGCCTTTTCCACCATCTTAGACTTTCTTTATTCTGGAAAGTTGGATTTGTGTGGCGAGAATGTAATTGAAGTTATGTCAGCTGCCAGCTACCTGCAGATGAACGACGTGGTGAACTTCTGCAAGACGTACATTAGGTCATCCCTTGATATTTGCCGAAAGATGGAGAAGGAGGCTGCTGTGGCTGCAGCGATGGCAGCAGCAGCAGCAGCAGCTGCAGCAGCTGCTCATCAGGTTGACAGTGGAAGCCCCAGTTCAGGCAGGGAAGTAACCTTCTATGGTACTAAGAGCTTGGTCTCCTCTCCAGCCGAGGGAGAAGACAATGTGGACTGTCCAAGAGAGTCCCCTTGCGGTGACTGTGGAGGCTGCCACCCCTTGGAACTGGTGGCAAAAGACAACCAGGGTGGTGGCTCAACTGACAGTAACCTCCCTATTCTATCCAAACGGATAGAGCCCAAAGTGGAGTTTGATGCTGATGAAGTGGAGGTGGAGGTTGGTGAACAGCTGCAGCAGTATGCTACCCCACTGAGCCTGGCTCAAATGGAGGAAGGCTTGCCCAGTGGCCAGGCCGTTGACTTAGCTTATAGTAACTACCACGTAAAGCAGTTCCTGGAGGCACTCTTGCGCAACAGTGCCGTCCAGAGCAAAGACGATGCAGACCATCACTTTTCTCCAACTTTGGAGGCAAGACCAGATTGTGTGGGAGTAGCCATGAGTTCCATGATGGATGTCCAGACTGACTGGTATGGAGAGGACTCAGGTGAGCTCAGCCAGCACCATCAGCATCCATCATCTGTGCTGGGCATTTAGCACGCACCATTTGTGCTCTGTATGCTCCATCATCATGATCATTGTCACTACTGTCATCTTCACCATCATCACCACCGCCATCATCACTACTACCACCACCATTATCGCCACCACCCTTTCCATTACCACCACCAATAAGTATTAATGGAGCACCTGCTGTGTGCAGGGCATTGTTTCCTCATATGTATGTTTGTGTTTTACCTCTACAACTAGAGTATAAGCATGTTAAAGACAGTTTAGATTTATGGAAAGTATCCCACTGTCTTCCACTAACCAGCAGTGGAACCTTGGTTAAGTCATTGAATCTCTTTGAGCCTTTATCGTCTTCTGTAAAATTGGGATAATCACTCCTGCCTTGCGTTTTACACAGGGTTGTTATGAGGACCAAATGAGAAGCTTTTCAGAATATTTTCTCACATACGATAATGTATTCTATACACATAAGACATTTATACTTCTCTCTCTGTCATGGTGCCTGGCACACAGTAGGCACTCAGTGAATGTATTGTGGTTGATGGTGCTATCTACTTGAAAATATTTTAGAGTTAGATGGCATTTGGCTTCATGTGAGTAAATTTCTTACATCCTTTGGTAGGCTTTTGTGTTTTAAGAGAAATTGATTGTTTCCCTAGACAGTTTTGAGAGACGAGTTTAACATTTGTTAACTTTTCTTAACAGGTAAGATAAATGTGTTATAAGGTGTCTTGTAGGAGACAGAGATAAACTTGGCTGCCATCTTACTAATGAAAGTACCCCGTGGCTTCCAGAGCTTCAAGCCAAGAAACTAATGAATCAGAACATTTCTAGTTCACCCTTCAATATTTTTAAAAAATATTGTGTTTTAGGTGAAAGTTTACATAGCAGATTAGGTTCCCATTTAAGAATTTTCACACAAATTGTTCCATGACATCGGTTACATTCTTCACAACGTGTCAGCATTCTCACTACTTCCATTCTGTTTGTTCTGCTTCGATTAATTTAGCTTCCCTGCCCCTACTTAGCTTCTCATCTTTGTTTTAAGGTAAATGTTGATCGTTTGGTCTTATATAATTGCTTATTTAAGGGAGCACATTCCTCTTGGGTGCTTTGTTTATTTTATAAGCCAGTCTATTTTTTAGATGAAAGGTGAGACCACTGTGAGTGGCTTCAGTTCCAAATTCAAAGAGTATCTTAGGGTAGTAATCTCAGGCGTTCCTCTAGTCTCTTATCAGTCCAGTAAGTCTAGCCTTTTTTAAGAATTTGAGTTTTGTTCTACATTTTTCTCCCTTTCTATCCAGGACCTATTGTGTCCCTGGTCAGAACAGTAGTGGTAGCTGGGCACCATCTAGTTCTTCTGGTCTCAGGCTGTGGTTCATGTGGGCTATTGGTCTGTGGACTAGTTTCTTCTCTGAGTCTTTGGTTTCCTTCATTCTCTTTTGTTCCAGATGCGTAGAGACCAATGGTTGTATCTTAGATGGCTCACCCTTCAGTGCTGATCAGTGAAAGTCTTTTAAATAAGGGGAGATTGGCTGCTTTTATTCATTACTAAATGACTGTGTTGGGACTTTTTAATTTCATTTTTCTTTAAGCAAGAACACTCTGTATGTCCGATTCAAAGTAGACTTGAAAATGCTGTTTCTGATCTTCAGAGACAATGGCTTAACTAGCATTTGGAAGGTAGTGGTTGTTTCAGCAACGTTATGGGAACTTGTTGAAACCCTTATTCTATTTGCATAATAGCGCTTCACAGACTGTGACAGCCCTTTCACATCCATTAGACCCTCATAACATCTCATGAGTTTGGCAGAGTAAGTGTGGAGAGACTGAGACCACCCCTTAGAGTTAAGCGAATTTCCCAAGAATGCAGAACTGGTAAATAAGTGGCACAGCTAAAAGTGGAACCCTGGGCTGTCTTCATTTTACTCATTAAGCAAATTGTGAAGGCAGCACAAATGGATAGAGGTTTACAGTGCAGGGATTTTTGTCTTTCAACCCTTCTGCCTATAAGCACAATAAGTATCAAGAAATAGTCATTTAGCTCTACGCCATCTCCCCACTCATGCCCGGTCTTTATCGGTCTGTAAACTCAGATTCCTAACTGCAGGGTGTTGTGGAAGGCAGCTACAGTGGCACCTGGACATGTCTGTTGCCTGCCAAGTTTTGATTCCATTCCTATGGCGACAAGGTAAATTTACTCCAAGTGCTAAGGCACAGAGTGGGGTTGATTTGTTTGGTCATTCATATATTTTTTCCCCAATGGCTGTGATCTTTTGGAAGTAGATCACCAGGCCTTTCTTTTGAGGCAACTCTGGGTGGATTCAAACTACCAACCTTTTGGTTAGTAGCTGAATGCTTAATTGTTTGCACCACCCAGGGGCTCCTTGGTCATTCATATTTTTTTGACAAATATTTTAGTACCTTCCTTGTGCTTGAGATAAGTTGGACCTGGATCCACCCCTCAAAGAACTCATAGTATCTTAGAGATGATAGATAGAGCATGTATGCAAATGATATTACATTGTGGAAATGTACTCAGCTGCAAATGTACTCAGACAGAAGTATGAGTTTCATAGTAGTCCAAAAGAAGAAATGGCTTCCCACTGGGACATCAGGGAGGGCTTCATGGAAGTGGTATTTGAGGGTAAGAAGAAGAGACATAGGGAAAATTAGACTGACATCAGATCATAGAAAATCTTAAATGCTAAGAGGTTAGGTTTTATCTGTAGGCACAGGGGAGTTTTTGGTAGTTTGCGAGCTTAGGAGTGGACAGGATCTGTGCTTCAGGGAGATGAATTTGGCCTCAGCACAAGATGACCCGGAAATGGGAGACCAGGGCAGGGAGCCTGCTGCAGTGGTTACCATGTTGCTCATCCCTGACAGCAGCAGACACTGCCTAAAGCATAAGGTCCTCCTGTTAGCTCTCTTCCCTCTCAGCCCCAGCTTCAGCACCTCCCATCTTTTCTTGGAAGAGCCCTCTACATTGACTGTCTTCACTATTTTCCTTCTCACTCTTTTCTCAGCCCACTGTGGTCTGGCTTCTACTCCCTCCACACGACTGAAACTACTGTCATGAGGTCAGCTGTACATTTCTAAAACCGTCCCAATGGGTGGTTTTCAGGAGTTGTCTTACCTGACCTCTCTTGGTAGTTGACTGCTCTCTTTCTCCTTCTTGACACCATGTGTACCTGTTGCTCTTACTTCTGTCCATTCCTTTGCAGCCTCATCATGGGTCATTTAATGTCAGTGTACCCAGTGTGCCATCCTTGGCTTGCTTGTCCGACATCTCATCACTTCTGTCTGTTCATTTGTTCATTCATTCCTTCATCTAACAGATATTTATTAAGCACTTACTCTGTGCCAGGCACTGCTAATGAGTGAACAAAAGACAGTCCTTGTCATCATGGAGCTAACATTCTAGTGTATGGAGATAGACTGTAAACAAATAAGTAAACATATAATGTGTCAGATAGTGATACATCTTAGGAGGAAAACCTGAAACAGAGGAAAGGGGATAGGGAGTGAAGGGGACTATTTTATTTAGTGTTTACAGGGAAGGCCTTTTTAATAAGTTGCCTTTGAGCAGAGACCTCCAGGGAGTGAGAGAACAAACTGTGCAGATACCAGGGAGAATAACGTTCCAGGTGGAGGCAAGAGCAAGGTGCAGAGGCCCATGTGCAGAGTCATGCTTGGTGAGTGATCAACAGGAACAGCAAGGAGGCTGGCATGGCTTGAGTGGAGTGAGCAAGGCAGATGGTGATGGGGATGAGGTTGGAGAGGTTAAGGGCAGAGTGGATCAGGTAGGGCTTGAAGGCCATGGGGAGGCCTTTGGATATTACTCTGAGATGGGAATCCATTGGAGGGGCTCAGTAGATAGTGACTGAAATTACTTATATATTAAAAGAATCCTTCTGGCTATTATGTGGAAAATAGACTAAAGGGGGAAAGGGTGGAAGCAGGTTAGGAGGCTACTGCAATAACCCAGGTGAGAGAATCCAGCAGTGGAGATGTGAGACATGGTTGGATTAGGACTGTTCTTTATCTCAAGGATAGAGCCGATCAGATTTGCTAATGGCTTGGATGAGTGGTGTGACAGAAAGGGGAGTTAAGGATGAGCCTAAGATTTTTAGCCTCAGCAATTGATTTAAACATGTTATCTTTGAAATGCCTATTGGGTATCCAAGTGGAGATGTTCAGTAAGCAGCTGCGTATATAAGTTTGGAGTTCTGGGGAGAGGTCAGAGCTGAGATATAAATTTCAGAGTCAAGAGTGTGCCATGTAATTTAAAACCATGTTTACCCTGTGAGCTTATAGATCTAGAAGGAAAAGATAAGAGATCTAAGGACTAAGTCTCTGGGGAACACCAATGTTTAGCAGTGAGGAAAATAGGGAGAAACCAGAAAACGAGACTGAGAAGGGCAGCCGGTGAGGAAGGAAGAGAATCAAACAAGAATGAAGTCTCAGATGCCAAGAGGAGAAAATGTTTCAAGAAAGGAGAGAAACCAGCTATGTCCAACACTCCTTCTAGGCAAACTGAGAATTTATCATGAGGTTTAGCAATGGATGGGTCATTGGTGAGCTTGACAAGAGCAGTATCGATGAAGTTGTGGCAACAAAAGCCTGACTGGAAAGGGCACTGCAGGAATAGATGTGACGATAGTGAGTGTAGATGACTCTTTCAAGGAGTTTTGCTTTAAAAGAAACAAAGAAATGGGTCAGTGCTGAAAGGGGATGTGAGATCAAGGTTTTCATTAAGGTGGACGATATAACAGTATGTTTGTTTATTGATGGGAATTATCCAGGGAAGAGGGGGATAATTGATGACGGAAGAGAGAGTGGACAATTGCTGGAGCGAGGAGGGATGAGTGCTATGCATAAGTGGAGAATTGGCCTGGCCTTGGGTGAGAGAAAGGATGGTTCGTTGATAGGAGTAGGAGTGAGACACAGCATATGGGTTCATACGGGAGGTTGTGGGTGGTTGGGCATATGTAGAGGTTCTCTTCTTGATTGCTCCTCCTTCTCAATGAAATAAGAAAGGACAGCAGCTGAAAGTGACAAGGGGGCCAGGAGAGGATGGAGGTTTGAGGAGAGGGAAAGTATAAAATAGTTATTGAGAAGAGTGGGAGACTGCACGAACCAGGGAAATGTATAGAATGGACAGAACCAAGGGCTCTTTTGATGTTAGCGGTCATGGATTTAAAGTGAGACTAGAACACACAGTTGTGCATTTTTCTCCAGTGATGTTAAGCTGCCTTGTTTTGGGTATGTTGGATTTAACCAGAGTTTAGGTTTAATCAGGTGAATACAGATAGAAAGAAAGAGAGGGCCAAGGCATTTGAGGTTGTATGCAAGAGAGTGATTTAAATGATGGATATAGGGATTAAACTGGGGAGTGAGGGGAATGTGGACATGAGGAGGTGAAGGGCAGTGAAATGGCAGTATAGTCCACACCTTGGGGTCCTAGTGGAGACAGGGCACTTTGGGAGTAAGCTGGAAAGATATGAGATCGTGATTGGCAAGTGGGGTGTTTGAAATGTGGGTTATGCAGGGAATACAGTTATTGGCAATATCAAGGTATGGAGCAGTAATTCTTATCCCTGTCTGAACATTAAAATGGTGGTGGTGGGGTTTTAAAAATATGATACTTGGGCCCCACCCCACCCATTGGGGTAGGCACTGGACATCAGTATGTTTCTATTTTAAGTTTCCCAGGTGATTCTCATATGCAGGCAGAGTTGAGAGCTGTTGGTCTAGGGTTGGATGGCTGAGTTGGGGTAGAGAACAAGATCTTTGGAGGAGAGGAGGTCAAGGAACAGAGAGGTCAGGGTATTGGAAGGACCTTTTTCGATATTCACACCAAGAAATATGACAGGAGTTGTATTTGAAGGCAATGTGATCAAATCTCCAAGGCATGAGGAGGTGACCTGGGTGGCCCTGGATGACTGTAACAAGGAGGGATAGCAGTGGTATTGTATGGTATGAGCTTCAAAAGATCTGAGGGTTTTTAAGGAAGGAGGGAGAAACAGAGGTCTGGAAGTAGTAATGAAACACAAGGAGGACCCTACCCACCTCTAGCCCAGGGTGTCAGGGCTGTGGGAGAGGGCAGCAGGGAAGCAGTGTGCTCAGGGGAGAGCTAGTCTCAGTTAAAGCAACCACTCTGATGGTCCAGATTTATGTATGTAACGTGGATATTTCCATGTGGAAACTCAGAATGTGCCTCAAACACAGTAAAATCAAAACTGAGCTGCCTTTTCCTCTTGAACCTGTTTTTCTTCCTGTGTTCCCTGCCTCAGTTGATTCCACCATCATCCATCAAGTTGGCTAACCTGGAATTTACATCATCGAGAATCTTCTCTTTCCCTTCCACCCTGCATGTGGTCATCAAGTACTGTTAATTTTACTCCTCCTCTAGGATGTCTCTTCCTCTCGCCTCCATGGCCACAGCTTTAGTTCATGTCATCTCTCATCCAGACTGTGGTCATCTCCCATCTGGACTTCCTGCCTTTAATCTTGCCTCTCTTGAATCCTTCCTGCACACTGTCCTAGAGAAATCTTTTAAAAGTTAAATCTGACCGTGAAAAGTCCAAGCTCCTTAGCATGTCACTTCCACGAGGACAGGGATTTTTATCTGTTCTGTTCACTGTGTATCCTCAGGGCCTAGAACAGAGCCTGACACATAGTAGAAACTCTATGTAGATTTGTTGAATAAATGAATGAACATGACCTTCACAGTCTGGTTCTTGTCCCTTCCTCAGTCTCATCCCTCAGTCTCCCTTATACTCATCTAGCTCTATGCCTAAGCACATTCTGGTCCTCTGCCTAAGATAACTTCCTCTGTCTTGTACACCTTGTGAACTCCTATTCATCCTTTAAAACCTTCCTCAAAGGTCACTTCTCCTGTGAAATCTCCTCTGAACTCCAAGAGAGAATTAATTACTTTTGTGTCTGTATTTCTTCACTTTGAATTTTGCGTGTATTACATTATATTGTATGAATTTGTTTACATGTCTTTCTTCCTTGCTAGGCTTAACTTCTTGAGGGAGGAAGCAATTGTTTTGGTAAAGATGAACCTTGACACAGTGCCTGGCATGTAATATGCATTCAAATGAACTGTTGTATTGGGGAAATCAGATCATGAAAGAGAAAGGAAAATGTGAGATTATTCATACTTTTCCAGTGGAGATACATTAACAGTTGCCTCTTCCAAGGACCAACAGGGGGCCCACTTTACTTAATGTTTTTGAAAATAATTGGGAAGAAAGGAGCAGACGCCAAGCTGATAGGGACAAATGACAGGAAGCTTCCACAATGCTGGTGGAGTGAGCAGGAAAGTGGCATCTTAGCCCCCGTGTGATCAGTGAGAGATACGACAGTCCAACATACATATGCGTCGATGAGCTATGAACTGCTGCTTACAGCCTAGGAAACGGATTTTGGAGTCACTAGAGATTATCCAAGATGTTAGGCATCCTCAGGAAGGGAACTAGAAGCCAAAGAGAATAATCTCCACCCTTATATAAAATGATGTCGGGTTCTCACTTGGAATTCAGCTTGCTATACTTTTTGCAATGCCTCAGGAAAGACAAAGCCTAGGTAGGTGTCCTGAGAAGGTTCGGAGAAAATGAAATAAATCCATTATTGACAGCGACTACAAGAGGCTGGACTGCCTAATGAGTAAAGAAATGCTAGGGAGATGGTTATGATGATGACAAAATGATTGACATTTACAAATGCTTACTATGCGCCAAGTGTTGTGCTAACAGAGTTTCAGGTATTATTTCATTTAATCCTTACCACAATCCTATAAGGTTGGAATTATTATTGTCCCTATTTTACAGATAAGGAGAGTAAGGCACAGAGAAGTTATGTCAAATGTCCAAGGTCACAGAGCTGGTAAGTGGTAGAGCCAGGGCCTGAACCCAGGTTTCTGTGCCTAGAAAGCCGAGTCACTAGTGCCTTCATGATATGATATGATATGATATGATCCAAGTCAGTAAAATCCTGAAGGGCATGGATAAACCTGTTGCCATCGAATCGATTCCGACTCACAGCAACCGTATAGGACAGAGTAGAACTGCCCAGTAGGGTTTCCAAGGAGCCACTGGTGGAGTTGAACTGCTGACCTTTTGATTAGCAGCCGAGCTCTTAACCACTGCACCACCAGGGCTCTGAAGGGCATGGATAGTGGGAACAAATCTTGGAATATCACAGTAAGGGTATATCCAGGAAACTTGAAAGAAACAGTTTTCATGCAGGCGGGTGAAAGTGATGGAAGTCATCACAAAAAAGTGAAAAAATTCACTCTAGCGGTTTAGAGACGATTTCACAGGAAAGGTAAATGCTGAGCAAGGTCCAGGATGAATAGGAGTTCACCGGGTGTACAAAACGGAGAGGGATATCTGAAGCAGAGAAACATTAAAGATTGTATGAGCAAAGTGAAAAAAAAGAGTTGGAAAAAGATTTCAGTGAATTCCTAGATATTTGATGATTCCAGATACATATAATTAGTGTGAATCCCAAACAATTTAGGGTGTCTGCATCATAGCAAACCCTACATACACGTGGAAGATAGTCTTAGGAACTCTGTTAAAGAAAGCATGAATCCTGGTCCCTAGGTCTAATCTATCTTAACACAGAGTTTTTTAAACTTTTGAGAGTCTTGAGATTCATTCAAGGGGTATTAGCATTTTCTTAAAATGAAATCAAATAGAATAGAAACTACCAGGGTGAGTATTGTTGTGTGAAGCTTTTCAAGTTATTCACATGAAGGCTTGTGTGTTCTGAAGTTGTGGGGTAAGCTGTGTTCCTAACTGCGGGTCACAGTCAAAGATGTCTGAAAGTAACTTCCAAATATCCTTGCAGTATCAGAAGCCCATGTTACCCTCTGGCTGGTTGGGAGCCAGACAGAGTAGGAATTTGCAGACCAGATCCTTTTAGCCAGAGGTGGAGTTGATGTCCTCTCTATCTGGGCTAGTCCAGTTCCCCAGCTTCGGACCCTATCCATTGGAGGGTGGTGTTGTCGCTGCTCATAGAAGAGCTAAATCAATTTGTTTGGTTCCCCAGGTGATGTGTTGGTGGTCCCCATCAAGCTCCACAAGTGTCCTTTCTGCCCTTACACTGCCAAACAGAAGGGCATCCTTAAGCGGCACATCCGCTCACACACAGGTGAGCGGCCCTACCCCTGTGAGACCTGTGGCAAGAGGTTCACTCGTCAGGAGCACCTGAGGAGTCACGCCCTGAGTGTAAGTATCCCAGCTGGCAGTTTCCTTGTGGCAGGGGCGGTTCATGATGCTGTCTAATGTAAGGGTAAAGCCAGCATATCTTTTACTTCTCTGACTACTGGCGTATTTTCAAAGAATTTTAAATATATGTTTCTGCTACCTAATTAAAGCTGGGTTGGCGGCATTTAGAGAAAGTTAAAACTTCCATGGCAATAGACTAGTTTTCTAAGGGGAAAAGTCAAGAAAGTTTAGATCCTGGTCAAGGACGATTATTATGAGGCAGAGAACAATGGGGCTTGGACAAGGGATTGTGGACTGTTCCCACCAGTGTCATGCCAACAGTAGGCTGCATCCTCAGTTTCCCACCCAACCCCAGCACCCTGGGATGAAGGAGGGGATACTACCATTTATAGGGCTACCTGTGGGCAGCAAATAAGGCTCCAGCTCAAGGGGAGCTCCCCTCTCACTGGCTGCCCCCCTAGGGTTCTGTCCTCCATGTAAGCTGGTGATTCCCACCAGCTAAAAAACACTCAGGCCATTTAGAAAGCTGTTGCATTTAAAATCATCTTTGAGCAAGGTAATTACCTGTGAAAAATCCAAGGTAGGAAAGGTTTGGACTTCAAAGACTACTATCAAGAAAGTGAAAGACAGCCCACAGGATGGGAGAATATATTTGCAAACCATGTATCTGATAAGGTCTGGTATTCAGAATGTATGAAGAACTCTATAACTGAACAATAAACATACAAATAACCCAATTAAAAAATAGACAAAGGATTTGATAGACATTTCTCAAAAAAGATGTACAAGTGGTCAGTAAGCAGATGAAAAGATGCTCAACATCATTAGTCATGGGAAATGCAAATCAAAACCACAATGAAACGGTACTTCATACCTGCTAACCAGTTGCCCTTGAGTTGATTTCTACTGATAGCAACCCTATGTGTGTCAGAGTAGAACTGTGCTCCATAGGGTTTTCAATGGCTGATTTTGGAGAAGTAGATTGCCAGACCTTTCTTCTGATGTGCCTATGGGTGGACTCAAACCTCCAACCTTTTGGTTAGCAGCTGAGGTGCTTACTGTTTGCACCATCCAGGAACTCCTTCATATCCACTAGGATGGCTATAATTTAAAAAAAAAAAAGCAAAATGCTTGTGAGAATATGGAGAAATTGGAAACATCATGGATTTCTGGTGGCATGTAAAATGGTGCAGCTGCTGTGGAAATAGTTTGGCGGTTCCTCGAGAGGTTAAACATAGAGCTACTATATGCGTTTGACCCAGTAATTCTGCTCCTAGATATGTATCAAAGAGAACTGAAAACATATATTCACACAAAAACTTGTACATGAATGATCATAGCAGCATTATTCATAATAGTCAAAAGGTAGACAAAACCCAAATGTCCATCAACAGATGAATGGGAAAACAAAATGTGGCATGTGCATACAATGTAATATTATTCAGCTATAAAAATATATGGAGTATTGATACATGGTACAACATGGATGAACCTTGAAAACATGCTAAGTGAAAGAAGCCAGATACAAAGGCTGCATATTATATGATTCTATTATATGAAATGTCGGAATGGGCAGATCTATAAAGACAGAGAGTAGATTAGTAGTTACCAGATAGGGCCCCAGGGTGGCGCAAACAGTTAAGTGCTTGACTCCTAGCCAAAAGGTTGGTGGTTTGAACCCACCCAGAGGCACCTTGGAAGACAGGCCTACCAGTCTGCTTCTAAAAGATCACAGCCTTAAAAACCCTATGGAGCAGTTCTCCTCTGCAGACGTGGGGTGGTCATGAGTCAGAGTCGACTCGACGGCAACTAACAACAACAACAGAGGAGGAGCACGTGGGAGTGTGGAGTGGTGTGAAATGGTAGGAGTAGCATCAGATACTGTCTAACTGCAAGGGGGATAATGACTAGGATCAGCCTAAAGCTGATTTCCATGAAGTGGAGGTCAAACATATGTCCAGTCTCCAAACTTTTTACCAGTTCTGACACCAGCCGTCCCTCCCGCAGCACTCCCTACTTCTTTTCCGGATTCAGTGCAATGGCCACGTGGAACTAATAGACCATACTTACAGTTAAGTGGTTTATTAAGGAAGTAGCAGGGTAACTAGGGATCAGAATCAACAGGCTACAACTCAGGATCAGGATTAGGCTTCAGTTCAGGACATTTCTCTCAGCTCCTTTCAGCTGCACAAGCAAGCAGGCCCTTCTCTCTGCCATGCGTGCCCCCTCTCAGTGTGCAGACCCCTTCTCAGCCCCCTCAGGACAGGCCTCTCTGTCTTTGGCCACCCTGCCATTGGCCTCTCCACTGCTAACCCACCCAGCTCATAGTCAGCATAGCAGTTTTGTTCAGCTCACTTGGCTGTATTTCTAGTAGTAGATTTCTGTCATCACCACCAACTTTGCTGCAGGGCCCCTTGTTTGCATACTAGGCTACAGTCACTTCATTTGCATAACTATATTGACCAGTCCCTGCAAGATGTGTAAAATAGAGCAATCACAGGGTAGGCTTCAGCCCATTGCCAAACAGAAAGTATCAAACCTCAAGTTGTTTACACCTGACCCCGGAAATGGCAATCAACGTGCACAAAAGTAACAGACCCTCTAGGGTGAAAACTAGTGCACAGGTAACTCCTTAGGGCTTAGGAGAAAAATCTTTCAAGCTGTATTTCCAAAGAACCAAGGCAAAAGGACATATAAAGGAACTCATTTCACCACAGGTAGTGACTGGTAATGGATATAGGGTTTCTTTCTTTTACCTTAAGAGTTAAAAAAAATTTATTGTAGTAAAATATATATCAAATAATATCATTAATATCACACACAAGTAAAATTTTGCTGAAGATCATTCAAAAGTGGCTGTACCAGTACATCAACAGAGAACTGGCAGAAATTCAAGTGGGATTCAGAAGAGGACGTGGAACGAGGTATATCATTGCTGATGTCAGATGGATCATGGATGAAAGAGAATACCAGAAAGATGTTTACCTGTGTTTTATTGACTATGCAAAGGCATTTGACTGTGTGGATCATAACAAATTTTGGATAATATTACAAAGAATGGGAATTCCAGAATACTTAATTGTGCTCATGGGGAACCTGTACATTGACGAAGAGGCAGTTGTTCAAACAGAACAAGAGGATACTGCATGGTTTAAAGTCAAGAAAGGTGTGCATCAGGGATGTATCCTTTCACCATACTAATTCAATCTGTATGCTGAGCAAATACCCTGAGAAGGTGGACTATATAAAGAAGAACAAGTCATGAGGATCAGGGAAAGACAGATTAACAACCTGCGATATGCAAATGGCACAACCTTGCTTGCTGAAAGCAAAGAGGACTTAAGCACTTACTGATGAATATCAAAGACTACAACCTTCAGTATGGATTACACCTTAACATAAAGAAATAAAAAATCTTCACAACTGGACCAATAAGCAACATCATGATAAACGGAGAAAAGACTTGAAGTTGTCAAGGATTTCATTTTACTTGGATCCACAATCAATGCCCATGGAAGCAGCAGTCAAGAAATCAAACGATGCATTGCATTGGGCAAATCTGCTGCAAATGACCTCTTTAAAGGGTTAAAAAGCAAAGATGTCACTTTAAGGACTAAGGCGCACCTGACCCAAGCCATGGTATTTTCAATCGCCTCACATGCATGCGAAAGCTGGACAATAAATAAAGAAGATCGAAGAAAATTGATGTGTTTGAATTATGGTGTTGGTGAAGAATATTGAATATAACACGGACTGCCAGAAGAATGAACAAATCTGCCTTGGAAGAAGTACAGCCAGAATGCTCCTTAGAAGCGAAGATGGCGAGACTTTGTCTCACATACTTTGGACATGTTATCAGGAGGGACCAGTCCCTGGAGAAGGACATCATGCTTGGTAAAGGAGGGGGTTAGTGAAAAAGAGGAAGACCCTCAACAAGATGGATTGACACAGTGGCTGCAACAATGGGCTCAAGCGTAACAATTGTGAGGATGGTACAGGACCGGGTTGTGTTTCGTTCTGTTGTACATAGGATCACTATGAGTCGGAACTGACTCAACAGCACCTAACAACAATATATATATATATATAAGAGAACAATTGCCGTTTTAACCATTTTTATGTGTACAATTCAGTGACATTAATTACATTCACCCTGTTGTGCAGTCATCGCCACTGTCCATTCCCAAAAGTTTTCCATCACCTGAAACAGAAACTTAGTACGCCTTAAGCAGTAACTCCTCATTCTTTCCTTCCCTTGGGCCCCTGGTAACCACTAATAAACTTTAGTCTCTCTGCATTTACCTATTCTAGATATTTTGTATAAGTGGAAGCATACAATTTTTATCCTTTGCATCTGACTTATTTCATTTAGCGTAATGTTTTCAAGGTTTGTCCATGTGGTAGCATGTATCAGAACTTCATTCCTCTTTATGGCTGAAAATATTATGTTGTATGGCTATTTATTCATCTGTGATGAACCCTTGGGTTGTTTCTACCTTTTGGCTATTGTGAATAATGCTGCAGTGAACATTGGTGTCTTGGTAAGGATTTTGGCTTTACTGCAAGTGCCATGGGAAGGGTTTCTTTTTTTTTTTCCTGTTTATTTATTTATTTTATTTATTGTACTTCAAGTGAAGGCTTACAGAACAAATAGTTTCTCATGAAAAAGTAGTACACATATTGTTTTATGACATTGGTTAACAACCCCACAACATGTCAACCCTCTCCCTTTTTTTTTTTTGGTGAAA